AGGTCCGCTGGGCCCGCGGCCCCCCCGTGTAAGCGTGTGGGTACGCCGGACCCCCGTGACTCCCGTGTAAGCGTGTGGGTACGCCGGACCCCCGTGACTCCAGCTGTGGTACCCTCTCACTGACATACCTCTGGTCCTAAAACTCCTACCCATGGCTGTCACAGTTACCCCGCAGGCTGAAGTGCGCTGGCACTCAGGTTGGGGGACGCTGGTTTGGGTGGCCTGCATGTCCCCAGCATAGAGGCCAGAGGGCCTTCATCCTCAGCAGTTGTCCCTGAAGGGGACAGGAGTAAGATGGCTCACAAATGGCAACGCTCCCACGGACGCTACTCCTAAGAAGGAAGCCACATATTAGGAAGCTCTGACTGTACATGTACATCTATGGACATACAAGTATCCGGGTCCCAGTCCCCTGGATGGAATGGCCAGAACCCTTAAATACTGACAGTCCATCGGGGCCGGCAGGGGGCGCTGGACACTCCCACATTGCTGACCACGGTTCCAGTGCTGGCCCTGGTGGCTTGCTGTCTCACTTTCTATCTCTCTGTCTCTCTGGTCAAATTAAAATAAGTGAATGAATAAATAAAAATTAAATAAATACTTATTTAAAAAATATTTACAGTCCATCAATAATCTACAAAGTTATAACATGTGGCCAACCTATATACATATCTATATGTATGTATATACAAACACATGCGTATATATGTATATATGTGTATATAAATGTGTGTGTGTATATAACAGCACTGAATTCACCTACATGTACATTTCAATGCAAACAATATTGCACCAAACAAATGATACCAGTGAGTCACAAGACACTCTCAACTCTCAGTCAAAGCAAGCTCAGGGACAAGCATCCCATAAGGTGTCTCTCTGGTGGAGAACCCTGGGTACTGTTTACACCGTCTGACGGGGTAAGTCTACATGCCTTTGAAGCATCCTCATGAGCACGCGGGTCTGCTTGGAATCCCTGCTGCTGGCAGTCCCAGCTCCGCGGCCTTACCCAGGGCGACGGTGCACCCCTGAGTGGGCCCGTGGCCATGGCAGGACCACAGCGCCAGGGTGGTTCTGAGAATAGTGGTGGTTCTGTGCGGTTATGAGAATGAGCCACTGAGACCGAGTCCACATACAAGGAGAAGCTACTCCTTTAGGACGACAGAGGAGTGACCGTCTCCCATGGAGAAGTCCTTGCCGGGAGGCCACGCACACCCTGCTGAAGGGAGCGAAGGGCGTGATTTGGACGTCCAAGAGAGAGGACACCAAGTATCCGATGCTCCCCAACTTCTGATCAAGGCGACGTTCGGTATACAAGTAAGCTCTCTTGCTGAGGACGCTCCTATCCACATGTGTCGCCCACAATACTGCTCACGTCCCCTAAAGAGCACACTGTGGCACGTCTCAGGGTCTGCTAGGAATGGCGTCGCTGTCTGTGCTCACTCAGGCGTGACTTCTGGGTAGCTCTGCGGTTCACTGTGTGGCCTCCACCCAATACACACATCACTAGACTTTCCCATCTAAGACATACTGGTCGGGGCTGGCAGGCGGCGTGGTGGTTAAGGCACTGGACTCCCACGTGGCTAACTGTGGTTGAGTCCCGGACTCAACAGCTTGCTTTCTCACTCTCCCGAACCCCACAGTGAGCACACTTGCCCTGCAGCAAAATTTTTTAAAAAGATTTATTCAATTTTGTTTATTCATTCTTCTTCTTCTTCTTTTTTTTTTTTTCATTTGACCAGAGTGAGAAATAGAAATAGAGAAAGCCACCAGGTCTGGGACTCAAACCATGGCTGGCCATGTGGGAGTCC